CAAAATACATAGAAAACACCATTAGCATTCTACAGCTACAAACTCATTGTTCTGGAAACCTGATATGTGTAAAGCTTAAGATCATTAATTTAAAAAAAAAAGCAACCTATATAACCAAGCACTAAGAGAAAAGTTGCCTAAATTATGAAATGAAGCAACTTGTGGTAGCAATTCCTAAAAACAAATCTTTAAAAAAATATAGCACCATGCCAGTTTTCTTACTCGTGTGTGTGTGTGTGTGTGTGTGTGTTATAAATGAGAGGCTGGATGCAGATACAGGAAAACATTGTTATCTCTCTGTAGTGGGGTTTCTGCTGGTTTAAATTCTTTGCATTTTCTGTTATTTTATAGATTACTCGGAAGTAAAATGCATTATGCCTATAATCCTGAGTATATTTTTACTCTCATATTTCTGAGATGACTAGTCCACCATCATTCTATGTAGACTGGTTTTCCTGCTTGTACCTGTGGAGCTTGGCTAAGTTCATATCTGGGGTTCTTTTGAAAGCTTCACAGGTACAATTTGTGTAAAAGAGAAAGTGATTTAGAGACAGAGGACACAGAGACATGCAAGTCTTATGAAGAGACATTACAAAACACAAAATTTCATAATCTGAAGGATTCTGCTGAAGTGTTTCTCAGAGGCAGATTCTTGTGGGTATGGAGTTACCCTGAGTACTGAGTACCTGAGTACCTGAGTCAGCGCCTTTGCTTCTCAGGTGATGAGGATGACGATGATAAAGGAAAATACAAGAGCTCTAAGTGTAAGCATGGTGCTTACTTAGTGTAAAGAGCTTCAAGTTGTGACGAGTCTTCAAAAAGGTCAGGGAAAATACATATTACGAAAAATCTAAGCATTAATTTCATTTTTTTGTACCAAAATAAGCTTATCTTTAAAAAATATTATTCAAGAAACAGAGAGACAAAGAGAAATCTTCCCTTCACTCCCCAAATGCCTGCAATGGCCACAAATGGGCTGGTCTGAAGCCTGGGCTGAGACTCCGAATCCAGGTCTCAGACATGGGTGGCAGGTACCCAGTTACTCAAGCCATCATCACTGCTTCCCAGAATGGGCACTGGCTGGAAGCTAGAATTGCAAGCCAGGGCCTGGAATCAGAGGTAAGCACTTCAAGAGGGAATGCAGTCATCCCAACCAGTGCTTGAACTGACTAGACCCTAAACATACCTTTTCATTCCATTGTCCACAAACTCTTTTAAGTTACCTTGTTACACTGCATTTTAGGTACTAAGATGATAATTTTATTTACATAGGAGGTTATAGAAACTAAATACGATATTCAAGGTCTCATAACTAATATTCACATCACAATATTCTTTATACTATATCTATTTTTATTTAATAGCTATTTTTTTGACAGGCAGAGTGGACAGTGAGAGAGAGAGAGAGAGAGAAAGGTCTTCCTTTGCCGTTGGTTCACCCTCCAATGGCCGCCACGGCTGGCGCACTGCGGCCGGCGCACCGTGCCTGATCCAACGGCAGGAGCCAGGTACTTTTCCTGGTCTCCCATGGGGTGCAGGGCCCAAGCACTTGGGCCATCCTCCACTGCACTCCCTGGCCACAGCAGAGAGCTGGCCTGGAAGTGGGGCAACCGGGACAGAATCCGGTGCCCCGACCAGGACTAGAACCCGGTGTGCCAGTGCCGCAAGGCGGAGGATTAGCCTAGTGAGCCGCGGCGACAGCCTTAATAGGTATTTTTTTAAAAATTTTAACATAAGGGTTAATTTCACTGGATTTTTTTCAATTCTTTGGAAGGAGCACAGGAATTTCCCTGGTAACCTCAGAACTACTTATCCGTTTACTAACCATGCCTGCATTCCCTTTGATACTCACACTATCAGATCACCTGCTCTTTTTATGGAAGATAAAGCCTACCTTAATTATACTTAAAAGCTACATTAAAAATCAGTTAGTATTTAGAAGTCTTTAAACACCAAAGAAGTAGGTTTTTGGTGTTGATGTTATGAGAAACAGATGGCGAGACATTGTAGTAATAATTTAAAGTTGCCTCACAGCTTTTCAAAATGCTGTGTTAAGCCTTCACCAAACTCGTAAGAGTGTTACAGCAATGGTGGTCCCACTGGGCAAAGTTATCTCAAGGCTCAGCTCATGTTCACACATTGCCAGGGTAAGCCAAGAGTCTAGGATCTACAACCCATGTAACCGAAATGGCTGGAAGACCATGAAACTGCTCCTATGAGAACAGGGCCCTATGTAATACAGAAGAAATGAAACTACCCGTTACTTAAGATAAAGACCAGTTGTTCCCTAAATCCATCTGGGAGAAGAAAAGGGGAAACAGAGATAAAGGAGTTAAATTCCCTGTAAGGAAAACTCCAAATAATGAGGGTTGTTGACTATGGGAATGTTAAAAAGGACTTAAACATTTGCCCAAGTTCTGATTACACAAATAAGTGACACACTGATCTCTCGGAAGCATCTTAATTCTCAAGGAAAAAAAAAAAAACAAAATACTAAAAAAATACTATTTGTATAGCATATGCTACTCCTGGGTTATCCTCCTAATCTCCAGAATAGGTAAGCAGCTTTCTTTGCCTAGCTGAGAACTCAATACAGCAATATCTCTTCTCTCTCTCCCTCTCTCTCTCTCTTTTTTTTTTTTTTTTTTTTTTTTTTTTTTTTTGGACAGCAGGGTTAGACAGAGAGACAGAGAGAAAGGTCTTCCTTCTGTTGGTTCACCCCGAAATGGCCGCTATGGCCGGCGTGCTGCACCGACCTGAAGCCAGGAGCCAGGTACTTCCTCCTGGTCTCCCATGCAGGTGCAGGGCCCAAGGACTTGGGCTGTCCTCCACTGCCTTCCCGGGCCACAGCAGAGAGCTGGACTGGAAGAGGAGCAACCGGGACAGAATTCGGTGCCCCAACCAGGACTAGAACCCGGGGTACTCGCGCCACAGGCGGAGATTTAGCCAAGTGAGCCATGGCGCTGGCCCAGTATCTCTCCTCTTAAACAGACATTCGTCTATTCAGACACTGTTCCACTTTGTAAATGTGGGAACAGATTTTTTAAGGAGATTACAATTTTGAATTCTCAAATGATTTCAAGTCAAACAGAACAACTGCAATTTTTCAAATATGGTTTCATCTAACAGCAGTTATGGGGGCAGGAGAGACTCACAACTTCCATGTTTTCTTGGCTCATTTTCTTGGGATTGAACGCTGAGGTGCACAGGATATATGGAAGCCAATGTACATGCAGCTTGCCTGATAGAAGCTCTGCTCTGTACTCTAAGTGTGCGTTACGTGTTTCAGATTAATGCTGAGTTCCCAGCCTTACATATAATCTGGTCTCAAAATTCATATACATTTTGCCATTTTATTCAATGACATTTCTATTTTGAAGGATATTTTCCTCTAAAACACAAGTTATATTTTTACAGCATAACAATATGGGATACAAAATTGCATTTGGGGATGCAGAAGTCCCAAAGTACAATTAGATCATGAGGAACATATCCATATAATACTTGCATATTGAAATATATTCACAAAAAAAACCCACCAAATTTGTGGTTTCTTTGGTGTGTCTTTCTCTCTGGGCAGTAACATATCAGAACAGCGATGCCTACAATGTACTACAATGCCTTCCCAGGGAGCTGCAAATAAAATTCTTTCAGGATGAAAACAACCACCCAATAAACTAAAAATTGTGTTTCCTTTCGCTTGTGCAATAATTGACTCAAGGCATGCTTGATTTAACACCTCTGAAAGAAAGGATGTGCGAACACTCCTCCTCCAACAGAAGCCAACCAAGGGCCTCCCAGGGCTCAGCAGCTTACTAAGTTCTGTCAGGAGGCCTTTATGTCACCCCCACACACTAATATAGCCTTGCTTTGTTCGCAGTACAATTTAGTTTCTGGAAAATCCGCCTTGATTTAACAGTTCCTTTGAATGTGGCCTCCCACAAATTCTCAGCTAACAAGGCAAAGCTCCACGGAGGCTGTGCATTCCCGGAGCAGGATTGCCACACTTGAATGTTACTCTGCAGTCAGATAACCCTTATATGTTTCCAGCCAATCTACTGCTCTGAAAAGTCCAGTTTCCACTCCATTACATCCTGTATCTGGGAGATGACATGACTGAACAGTCAGGCCACATCAGGACCAAGTGGAATATGCCTGGGATAAATTAAGTCTACCACGATAAAGAAATAAAAGAAAAAGGACTTTGAACAGAAGGGAAGGAAATGATGTAATCCTGAGATGTGTTTCATTATCAATCTTGCTTTAAAGAAGTACATTTAGGTCATCAACAAGCAATGCTCCAAGAACTAATACACTGAAGAATCTCTCAGAACTAAAATTAGATAAGCAGAAGCTTAGAAAACAACCAACCTATGTACTTGGTTGGAACTGCAACAAAATGCAGTTAATAGTTTGACTTTATAATATGATGAATTGTTGACCAAGTAACACATGGTTTACATTATTCTACAAATGTAAACTGGACTATATTAGTACAGGGAATTTAAACAACAAAACTATTTTTTCTGGTACATAAATCTCCACTCAAAATTTTTATTTACCTTAATTCATCCTTTTATTTGATCTTCCTTTAGGATCACAATTTCACACCACACAATCCCATTAAAGATAAAACAGGACAGAGCTCTCATTTGCTCATAGATTTACTTAAAATAATAAACAGGGATAGTGAGACCCCTGTCAATCAAACAATCTCTCATGTTTCATGTTCTACTTATTAAAAGAACTATATCTGTTCAACCAAGACAATTATCCCAGTGAATCCAAAATTACACATTTTTGACTTAGCTCTTTAATCTCTTTTTACTTCAGTTAAAGTTTGTTCAACCCCAATAGAAGTTATAAATCAAACAACAGATTAGCAAACAGCAGTCAGCTAAAGGACACCTCTTTTTCAGTTACATCTGCCCAAGGTCAATGCCCCTTAAATTCACCCCGGCAGAAGGATGACACTTTGTAATTACCCCTCTTCTACATACTGGGAATCTGCTGGATCCTGTGGACAACGACAAATGCATCAGACAGCCCCACTTTCACTGGATGATTGGTTGAACTTATCTGTGTGACCAAGACAGGAATCTGGAAAAGAAGAGGCAGATTGCTGTGTGTTAGGTTTAAATTTCATTCGGGGGTGGGGGGTGCAATCATCTTATTTAATGGGTGAAATCAGATGATGAAGATAAGGAACGAGAGAGGGAACAGGAAGCAGCATAGAAGACAGACACACTCAATATAGCCTCAGTTTGGTGCTATTCTATGAGATGAATGAGTTCCTGTGCCTAGTGAGGGCTACCTGATATTGAAAGCAATAACTTCTCAGAGAATCCAACTGAGGCTGCCTGCGGCACACTTATCACACACAGGTTCACCAGGAATGCATTTAGTGCTGGCTGAAATGACAGCAGAAGAGAGTCTACTCTTACTATTTGTTTTCCCTCATGACTTTATTATATATTTATTTTCTTTTTTTTCTTTCTTTTTTTTAACTTTTATTTAATGAATATAAATTTCCAAAGTACGACTTATGGATTACAATGGCTTCCCCCCCATACCGTCCCTCCCACCCACAACCCTCCCCTTTCCCACTCCCTCTCCCCTTCCATTCACATCAAGATTCATTTTCGATTATCTTAATATACAGAAGATCAGCTTAATATACATTAAGTAAGGATTTCAACAGTTTGCTCCCACACAGAAACATAAAGTGAAAAATAATAGATGATTTTTTTTAAATGATGATGAAATCAGAGCAGACCTATTGTCATGTTTAATCCCAGTGAGAGTCAAGTTGGGAATTGATAATTTCTTTTTTTTTTTTTTTTTACAGAGGATCAGTTTAGTATGCATTAAGTAAAGATTTCAACAGTTTGCACCCCCATAGAAACACAAAGTGAAATATATTGTTTGAGTACCCGTTATAGCATTAAATTTCAATGCACAGCACATTAAGGACAGAGATCCTACATGAGGAGTAAGTGCACAGTGACTCCTGTTGTTGACTTTACCAATTGACACTCCTGTCTATGGCATCAGTAATCTCCCTATGCTCCAGTCATGAGTTTCCAAGGCTATGGAAGCCCTCTGAGTTCTCCGACTCTTATCTTGTTTAGACAAGGTCATAGTCAAAATGGAGGTTCTCTCCTCCCTTCAGAGAAAGGTACCTCCTTCTTTGATGACCTGTTCTTTCCACTGGGATCTCACTCACAGAGATCTTCTGCCAGAGTGTCTTGGCTTTCCATGCCTGAAATACTCTCATGGGCTTTTCAGCCAGATCCGAATGCCTTTAGGGCTGATTCTGAGGCCAGAGTGCTATTTAGGACATCTGCCATTCTATGAGTCTGCTGAGTATCTCACTTCCCATGTTGGATCACTCTCCCCTTTATATATATAAATATATATTTATTTTCATGAAGTTTTAGAAATCCTTGTTTGTAAATGACTTTACAGATAAAAAACAAAAACAAAACAAAACTAGGAAGAGAGAAAGTGCCCTGCTCTACATTTAAGCTTATCAGGGTTAATCACTATATCATATGTGATTGGATATATACATTTAAATTTGGCAATTGTTCATAGATGTCAGGCAGGCTTCTTCATTCCAGTTTAAATTCCTATGGAAAACTTTTGATTTTTTATGGGTCAGTTCCAGGTCATGTTTCCTAAATATTTTCTAAAAAGACTTATTTATTTATTTATTTATTTTATTTGAAAGGCAGAGTGATAAACGGACAGTGGGGGAGAGAGGGAGAAAGAAGGAGACTGGGGAGAGACAGAGACAGAGAGATATCTTGATATCTTCTATCTGCTGGTTTACTGCCAAAGAACTACAACAGCTGGGGCTGGGCCAGGCTGAAGCCAAGCGCCATGAACTCCATCCAAGTAACTCAAGTACTTGAACCTCCACCTGCTGCTTTCCAAGCACATTAGCAGGGAACTGGATGGGAAGCACTGAACTGGTGCTCCACTGTGAGATGCAGGGGACGCAAGAAGCAGTAAGTCTGCTGCACCACAGCCCCATCCCACATTTCTTATGTCTGAAAGTCAGTGGAACCAAAATTTCAAAATAATGGGCATGTGTAATACTTGCAGCTTACAAAAATTAGGACAAATTGACAACATATGAAAAATGATAACAACAGTTGTGAGAATCTCTTGGAGTCTGTTTTCCTAGATTTAGAAAAGATTCATTGGGGATATGATTACTCTATTAGCAGTTTTACAGAAATGAAAAATGGAATTGAGGCCATCTTCCATAAATAAAGATACATCAAAGAAGAGAATGTGTACACCACCACCCCCCAAAAAAAATCTTTAGGCGGGATAAGTAGATTGAGGGCCGTGTCTGGGTAATGCATCCCAGCACCCCGGAGCAGACACAGCTGTGTGAACCACCACAACCAGCAGAAGGAGGAGGGCAGACAGGCGCAGGCAAGATGAACTAAAGGCTGCCTTGCTTACATTTTCCCCAAAACATCGTGAAACTGTAAAAGGGCTACTTGGTTGAAGCTGATAAAAATTAGAGGCAAATTTTACTGTTAATGAAATTTGTGGAATTATCTGGAAACAAGTAGATGGAAAACAGCATTTTCCCTTTATGTGCTGCTTCAGGCCTCAGTCTGAAGGTGTTTACAAGTTTTATTTTTAATAGAAAACTTTTAATTAATATTTATAAATTTCAAAAGTACAACTTTAGGATTATAGTGGTTCTCCCCCCCCCCCAATACCCACCCTCCCACCCACAAACCATCCCATCTCCTACTCCCTTTCCTATGCCATTCTTCATCAAGATTCCTTTTTAATTATCTTTATATAGAGAAGATCAACTCTATACTAAGGTTTACAAGTTTTCTATCAGTATACCCAGTTCTGAACCAAAATGAAGATTTATTCTGATTTTTGGATGATAGCAACACACAAAACAAATAATAATAAACAACAACAACGAGATTTCTGCCCCTAAAAGCTCATTTTCCTAAGTGAAAGCCTAATAGACTTAATTTAGTGATTTGCCAAGCCACACATTCAGTATCAGGAAGTGAAATCCCCTTTCTTAATGGGCATTACACTATTACATGGTCATACAGGGTGCCTAACATAAATATAAACTGTATTCAAGACAGTGTTACAGTTACGGAAGAAAAGTCAAAGGATGAGAAAAGTACTGAAAAAAATTTCAGGTAGCTTTTGTATGTCCTAATAAGACAAAGTCCCATCATTTCTGAACAGTGGTATTAACAGATGCCTGCCTGGAAGCAAATATACATGCTGTGTTATTGGCATTTGTCATTTGTTTTAATTCTCAACGCTACAACTGCAATTTTCCTCTGCAACTCACAAAATACTTTACCAGATAATTCTGTGGTAATTTATTGTATTTCTTCTTTTCCCATGCTCACAGCAGCACTTGAATTTATATTGCTACCAATTGGGAAATCCTATTAGGTTGTTATGAATATTACATGCTCACACTGGAGCTTGTTTGCCAGGTCACGTGCCTTAGTTCCTGCAGCAACCTTCGCCTCTCTCAGATTGTGCTCTCAACCTTTTGTTTCTTCCCTTTCTCCCCTCTCCAGATCATGCATTTTACCTTTTACATCTTTCTTTCTTCCCTACCTCTGCCCCTTACCTATTTTTCAAAAAAAGATGTTTATTTCTTTCTTCTTCTTCTTCTTCTTTTTTTTTTGACAGGCAGAGTGGACAGTGAGAGAGACAGAGAGAAAGGTCTTCCTTTTGCCCTTGGTTCACCCTCCAATGGCCGCTGCGGCTGGCGCACCGCGCTGATCTGAAGCCAGGAGCCAGGTACTTATCCTGGTCTCCCATGGGGTGCAGGGCCCAAGCACCTGGGCCATCCTTCACTGCACTCCCTGGCCACAGCAGAGAGCTGGCCTGGAAGAGGGGCAACCGGTTGGGACAGAATCCGGCGCCCTGACCGGGACTAGAACCTGGTGTGCTGGCGCTGCAAGGCAGAGGATTAGCCTAGTGAGCCATGGCGCTGGCAATTATTTATTTCTATTTATTTATTTAGAAAGTCAGTGTTACAGAGAGGGAGACCTTGCACCTGCTGGTTCACTCTCTAGATGGTTCCAAAGGCCAGCGGAAGATCAGGCCAGAGCCAGGAGCTTCTTCAAGGTCTCCCACATGAGTCACAGGGGCCTGAACACATGGATCATCTTCCGTTGCTTTTCCCAGGCCATTAGCAGGGAGCTGGGTCACAAGTGGAGCAGCCAGGCCCTGAATCAGTGCCCACATGGGATGCCGGTGTCACAGGCTGCCGCAATGCCAGCCTTTCATTTTGAAGTTTTTTTTTCCTTTGCATCACTTTGATTCCCTCCCTTTACTATTTGTGTCTACACCTTACCCTCTCCTGCAGGCTTTCTTCCTGTGGCAGATCAATGGCACTGAGGGCCTCCATCTATGGTCGCTTTGTACCTAGACCCCTCACCTTTTATCCTTGCTGTTCTCCCCCTGACTCTGGGTTCAGGCTATGGGAACAGACGATAGGAAATGCAAAGCAAAAACGAGGCTTCATAGAGTGCTTGCACGTTTCTTTTTTTTTTTTTTTTCTCTTTCTTTCTTTCTCTCTCTCTCTCTCTCTCTTTTTTTTTTTTTTTTTTTAGGATTCATTTATTTATTTGAAAGGCAGAGTTACAGAAGAGAGAGAGGGAGAGATAGAGACAGAGAGATCTTTCATCTGCTGGTTCACTCCCCAAATGGCCACAATGACTAGAGCTGGGGTGATCCGAAGCCAGGAGCCAGGAGCTTCTTCTGGGTCTCCCTTGTGGCTGCAGGGGGCCAAGCACTTGGGCCATCTTCCATTGCCTTCCCAGCTGCACCAGCAGGGAGCTAGATCAGAAGTGGAGCAGCAGGGACTTGAATAAGCGCCTGTATGAGATGCCGGCACTGCAGGTGGCAGCTTTACCTGCTACCCCACAGCGCCATCCCCAGGTGGTTGCACATTTCCGTTTCCCTTCTTGGACCTCAGCCTTGCCAAGCAAATGAACCCTGCAGGTCTATAGGAGACACGTGAGAGACACACAGAGGAATGCTTCCTTTCCAGCAAGGTTGTCCTTGCTGAACTC